TCAACTGTACCTGTTACAAAATCACATCACCTCATTCTTACTTGAGCATTACCATCAGTTTGTGTTGTTATTTTCTATAAAATAAATGGAGTATCCGTGGTACTTCAAATAAACACATGTGAAGACTTTTTATTACTTTTTTTTGCAAATTAACAGGTGGTGCCAAAGCCAAACGAAGGGCAGCTACAACAAATTATCATTGTAATCTCCACAATAATACTGGTTGTCACCCTGGCCCATATCATTTTCTGTTATAGACTAACCTCGGCCCCCCATCTCAGAAAGGAAAGTTGATGTGGCCCCCACTGAAAAAAGTTTGGGGACCGCTGCTTTAGGTGGTCCTCACATCTTCAAAGTTCTGTTTAGGGGTTAAGATTTTTAGGATTTATAGAAATTAGGTCGATGCTAAGTTTAGGGTAAGTTCTGGGGTTAAAAAAGTGCAAAAAAATGGTTTGTACCTCCAAGTCTATTGGTTGATACTTTAATTGGGTTTTCAGTTTCCAAGCCCAATGGAATGGAAAGAAAACAAAGAATCTTGCACACTGTACATCCCTGTCCATGATCTCCCCTTAAAGTACACAGTGTGTACACACTTAATAAAAGTCTCCATTACTTGCACTCACTTTATGAAGTGAGTGCAAGTAATGGACAGTGTGCAGGATTGTTTGAGTTGTTTTAAAGTCAAGAGTTTACACCTGTCACTAATACTTCTGCAAAAATAATCCAGAACATAAATAGAAGTTTTTGTATGGATTAAACAAATGAGATACAACATGTTAATTAAAGACCTTTACAGGTGGTGGAAGGTTGCTTTCACCTTTGGACAGAGCCAAGCTAACTGTTTCCAATCCTTATGCTAATTTGCTACTGAGTCAAACGTCATATTTGCATATGATTGTATATGTAAGAACGGTATTGATCTTCTCATCAAGTCTCTCTGCAAGAAAGCAAATAAACATATAGTGTTTCCCAAAATGTCAGCATATTCCTCCAAGTACAATTTGCTCACAGCACTTCTGTACTTGCAGGACTAAAGACAGCTAAACTTAGGATGAGGGCTAAAGATTGCACTCAGTCAATGAGAGAAAGTATATTATATGTTTATATGTCTTTATATGTACAGTATGTTTTAATATTTTTGCCTACTTGCTTATTTGCTGTGCATGAATACGTCGTTCTAAACATGATTCACATATAGTGGATTGAGCCACTCATCACAGCCACAGTGGATATTGACCAGATCACATCACTCAGCTCAGCGTCACTCCCTTCAAAACCATATTAGCCAACAATATAATATAGTATGACTCAGTGAGTAATGACTAGTTGTAATAGCACATGACACCATGATCAGACATCATTACATATAATTCCTGTTAATGTCTGTTAATCAGATACAGTAGAGCTCATTAGATGTAATGAGACACTCCCTCCACATCAGCACATTAACCTGGAGGTTGTTCAGTCTGGCTACTTTCCTTCTGCTCACTATAGCACACATGATGTTTTGATTTAAAGCCTATGTGTGCCTGTAGGTGCTGTTATAATATCATTATTGGTAATGACCCAACCACTAGAGGCCTGAAATATCTGTAATACGATAACCAACACACACATACTTATAACCTTTTTCCTCAGCCGTTGATTAAAATTCATCCTGTTTCTATTTTTAATCACCTAAATGGATGGGCAAACCTTAAGAAAACAACAATAGACAGCGATCAACAATAGAAACACACTCATTCTATTTACTGGGTTTTTCAAAATCAGCAGTAGGCCAGTCAGTCAGTCAGGAAGCTGCTGAATGGAGCAGAACAATAGGAGCAAAGAGGCCACACCTGGCCCAGACACCTGGTGAGCTGCACAGCAGCAGCACATACACGCCACAATTGGACATTTGCGTGTGATTGTCCTTGTCACCAACAAGCACAGGAAACACAGTATTTCCCTTTCTAGTAATAGAGGAGCGAATGATTAGGGGTGAGAAAGCAGCCAAATAATCATTAATGTAACTATGCACTGAAGTACTGAAAAGTTATATAAATGTTATGTAATATAAATAGGGGTAGGGCAAGTTAGGGCTGCAACTAAATGTATAACAATACAAAAAAAGCCTTTTACAGTTTCCAAAAGTCCAATTGGATGTCTTCAAATATCTTGCTTTGTCCGATCAGCAGTTCAAAACCCAAAACTATTCAGTTTGGAGTGATATGAAACAGAGAAAAGCAGCAAATCTTTACATTGGAGAAGTTAAAACCAGACAATATTTGATGTTTACTTAAAAAATTACAAAAAACATTTACCAATTATCAAAATGGTTGCCAATCAATCCTATGTCCATCAACTAAACGATTAATCAACTAATCAAAATGGTTCTAGTTGATTTTGATGTATCTACTGTATAAATTCATCAGGAGAGACTGAGTATGATGGCAACAGCAGGTCTCCATAGCCATTTGTTGACAGAAAATATTTACAGCTATACATTGAGACACTCCTCTGTTCCTCTAATCCACTTCACATTGACAACTCCTCCCCTTCTGCAGTAGTTTTTGTCTAGATATAGCTATTTTTATAACCTGTGTTGCTACATTTCATTTCATCCACTCTTGGATTACTGTTTTAGTAAAATACTAAAATAGTACCACGGACACACTCAAAGGGTCAGATTTGGTGCTTGTTCCTGTTGCAGTATTGTACTGTACTGGATTCTATTTCAATTAATCAATCAGTTAATGAAGTAGTTTATCATTCAAACAATTTCTAGACTGAGCTCAGGTCATGCGAGTATGTGTGTGTTGGTGGTATTGTCATATGTGTGCTGTCCATGGTGCTGAAATTTCCCATACATCCTCTTTTGCACAGAGAAACTAAGGGCGAAACCCTGAAGAGACTGTGACTGTTTAAGGACCTGTAAAGTTGTGTACACTTGTGGAAATATGACAAAACTGAATACAGTTTGGGGGAAATAAACAGCTTATAAAAAATATTTCTTTGTTTGTTGACCAAATGGAACAGTTTTCCTACCTTTTTTTATTTAACTCCTACATGACTCCTTTGATGAGTGTGTGTGTATATTTCACAGCTTACCTGCTTCATTTTCGCCATGAAGCAGAAAAGGATATGGCCATTCAATGATTTTCTTGGCGTACTTCCTGACCACGTTGTCCTCGCCAAGGATGAAGAGGGACCTGTTGACGGTGAAGCAGTTCTCCCTGACCGGGATGGGGTTGTACAAGGCCATGGTGCGGGCACGCTGCGCTTTGGTCTGCTTGAAGGCTGGGGAGATACCACCTGTGGACACAGCCGCCCCATCGCGGTTCCGGTTGCGCTCGGACCCTCCATCCCCTGAGCTCAACAAACCCGGGACGTCGTCTCCAAACCGGGCCATTCTGTCAAAAGCAAACCACACGGGAGGGGAGACAGGGTGAGATGGGGGAGGAAAAGGAGGTTATATTCTCCTAGAAAGCAGGTTGCGGTGCCGCGCTCGGTGTGACCGCAGCGGAGTGGCGAGATCCGGAACAGTTTCAGTCCATCGCCACTTCTATATTAGCAAAAACACCGCTTTCAATGTCCTCAAACTTCACAATCCGATCAAAACATTTACAGATTTTTGTCCAGACGGTTCAGAGGGGAGCTCTGTCAAAGCAGCACGTTGATCTCCCTTACCAAGTGCGCTCTGCGTAAAAAAAGGAAACAAATCCAAAAAGTAATTCTATTGCGCCTCATTTAACGAATCCGTCGTCTTAGAGGAAGCGGTGAAAACTGATTCATTTTGCAGCGTTTTATCCATCCAAACACTACGAAGAGAGAATAGAAAAGCTGCAACAGGTCAGGTCGTCAGCCATCCTCAGTCCCCTGAGCGAAAACGAGAGCAGGTTGATTCATGGATTTTTAAATAAACTAGCAACAGTCCACTGACTAATTCAGTGCACATCACTCCTGTCTCCTCTCTCCTCTTCTCTGTTGACCACCTACCACAAGAGCACTATCCTACTGCGTGTGTAAGAGCACGACGGGGTTGAAAAAAGGAAAACAACTTTGGCATTTTCCACAACATTTTCCCCTCCGAAACAACGCGAACAAAACCACGCGTCACACAGAGGAAAAGGCAACCCTCAATCCATCTTGTCTGCAGTGGGATAGTGAAGGATGCATCTCCCCTTCTCCCCCGCACTGTATGAGCAGGAGGACAGAAGACAACAGTGTCTCCTATAATGCGACAAGATCAATACACCTCTCCTAACCTCTGTCCAACCCTACCCATGCAGTTTAAGATACGCAGATCTGGTTAACAAACCGTGTGAACAGAAAACAAGGGAAAATGAAAAAGCAGAGCCATGCATGGAATCAATAAAGTCACAATGTAATGGAAACAAACAATGGAAATTATGTAAACCAACTATATTTAACATTAGACAGCCTGTAAATCTGTTATTCCAACTATTAATACGCAATGAGTTTGTGCTTTTTTGCGTAAAATTCTTGCAAACTCAGGTTTATGTGGCTGCTAAACTGGCAACAATTTGATGATGGGCCACGCTGTAATATTCTGCTTTGACTTGTGTTGTTCACCTTGCATGGTCACGCCTCAGGGCGAGCAAACTGAATGCTGGTCACGTATTAGATCGAGAGGGGAGTAAACACCTGTTGTGAAACACCGGGCGCCAGCAAGACACTCAGGAGGACGGCAGTAAGCATCTCTGGCTAATTACAGGGTTCAGAACCTACTATTGCAAGGCATGATAGTGAGGGGGAGTCATGCTGCTGTGCACCGACTGGAAGTGATCATATCTACTCTCATGAGGATGTGGGGTTTTTACAATGAAGAAGTCGCGGGTGGGGGGCAGGGACCGATGCATGCTATCAGATATGAGAAACATGACTATACAGGAAGCAATAATAATTATGGTGATGTTATTTTCTTACTGTAAACAGTTCTCAAACAATTGATTCTACAAACAAATATCATCTTCTATTCAAAGCCTATATTTTATTTCTCTGTGTCATGCACCTCCGCTGTTGTTAAGTAAACTATTAAAAACACAGAGGTTATAGATCCACTTGTCACATACTTGCTGCACACATACTATAAACACTGTATGTATGACCCTGCATACAGTCAAATGCAGCACATACATAGACACACACATACTCAGGCACACAGTCTGTTCTGTTCAGTTTTCATCTTGAATCTAATGTGGAAATTTGTTTAGTTGTTTAATCTTAAATAAATTAAAATGTTAACGAGGGACGTATTGTAAATATATACTGTACATCTGTTGCATTACTTCTCCCTATATGTAACAATGTTTATCGTGTTTAAATTTTAAATAATCAATGAGTCACACCTTTGCACTGGATGACATTAGCACATACACTGTCCAGCTGTAAATACTCACTAGAAGACTAAATGTATATTCATGCAAATGTTTTAAATGAGGCAAAGGACCTCTACACAAAAAGCCACCAACCTAAAAGATATGAGGCAAAATGCAAAGAATTCCCAAAGAACAGCAAGCTGAGAGAGTCTCTGTAAAGTAAAATTCACCAGCTACTATCATATAATTCTTTAAACTGAGATAGTAAAGTGATATTCAAGGAAACCGAAGACAAAAGAAGAACCACAGGAGAGAATTAACTACGATGCTGACACTGATGGGTATTCAGTGATGGTGGTATGACGAAGGCAGTGATCAATGGTGTGTGGCCTCTTACTCATTAGTGCTTCAACACATTATGGGCATTAAAAATAGAACACATAACAGACAGAAATCTGACGTCTTCTCATTATACATGGTGAGAAGAGACGTACAAATTTTCAGTCTCCTCCAGTTAAAAGGGAAAAAAACTGCTGTAGAAAAGTCACGTTTCACTTGCTTAGTGTTATTTCAGTCTCAGCTACTCTATGTGTGATAGAAATGTTACTTTTTCCTCTGCGCAGAAGTAAGCAAGTGATACCATTACATTATTTTCTGCCAGGACGAGAGCGTGCAGCAGCAGTCGCAGCTTTCTTGGCTGAGAGGTGAGGGGTGAATTATGGTAATTAGGTGTTAGCAACAGGGATGATAAGGGTGGAAGGATGGTGGTTCTTTCCAGTAAAAAAGCAGAGAGCGAACAGTTAAGAGTCCCATTGTTGTAGACAATGCTTTGAGTCAGTAGTTTTTTCTATGATAAAAAAAAAACAACACATTTTTGAATTAAAGTACTAGTGATATTGCTGAAGGACTGTTAATCCAATATGAGTGTGTTTGTGTAAGGAATCTTACGTAATCACTCCTGCTTTGAATAGAGCACAGTCAAACCAAAAAAAAGTTTACACCACTGGCCCTGAGGTTAGTTGGTACCACTTTCTAATAAGGCACCTTAAGATCTTATGAGTTGTAACTAATGACTTTAGTTGTTTTGTATGAATGTTCATATGGATGTTTAGTTCTGACAGGTCTGCTATCCAAAAAGAAATAAAACATCTTTTTCAAGGAGGTGAAAAAGTCTAAAGAAACCCTGAAATATCCTATTGCAAAAGCCAAAAATCCTATAAATCCTTTGGACCAGTTGCTGTTTTAAAAACAGCAGATTATGTATAGCCAAATTCCAATGAAAAATAAAGTTATAGGTGGTTAACATTGCTGAAGAACTGGCATCTTATTTGACATCTTAGACTTGGTGCAAATGTTGGAAAATGTTCTCTTAGCTGTAAGAGATGTATAGCTTGCGGAAATCTAGCCAAGGAACGTAGGGTTACCAAGGTTACCTGCTGTCATGACAGCAGGTTGACAGTCCCTGCTCTGGTAATAGGACTTAGTGCCACAGGACTGATGTGGGAACATAGATTTCAATTCAAAAATAGAATGTGTTAATGGAAATACCTGACAGGTCTGTATCTGAAACCTGGTCATTATCATCCTCTTTGCTTAACAGTCTACTTACCCTGAGGAAAAAAATACCCACATGTGAGTAAATTGCATGTGTTTACTTTACAGTTTTGGTTGTTATGTATGAAGATTTGAACAGTTTTAATCCTCAGCTGCCAACATACTTCCACCAAGCTCCTGGGTTGAATCCACATGGCTTTCTCACAGCTCATTCCACTTTTCTGTGAGAGCTTCAACTACTTTCATGCTATAGAGCTGTGTTTCAACCATTTCTGTCCACATAAACCTGGAAATAAATGACAACAAACCAATGGTTACGAAGCCTACACCTATTCCTCAAAAACTACACTAAATGTCAGATTACAAAGTTTATATAAAACATTGTAGCTCAGTATTACATGGTCTGATAAAAATATCAGTTTGAGAAACTACTATTTTATGACAACTTCAGTTTCATGACATGACGCGACAATTCAGCAAGAATGACAAGACCATACACAGAAGTGCAAGACACATAACAGATTATAAATATAACTCTAATAATACTCAATAAATATAACAGAATTAATACTAAATGATGGACTTCAGGTATCCATTCGTCAATCATTGACTAAATAACACGAAGTGTTATTAGAATAGTGTAAGTGCTGGCAGCTACTGTAGTGAGTAAAATAGAGAAGACACATTATTTGCACAGTGCTGTGAGACAGGCAGGCAAGCAGACGGAGAGAGACGTCAGATAAGGAATCTGTGTGTCTGTCTGAGATAGACATGTCAACACATTTTCATCAGTGCTGAGAACATGCTTGTTGACCCCCATGGGAGGGGCTTTAATTGTGCAGGTATATAAGAGCAGATCAAAACACACTGAAGCGGTGCGATCCTAACAAGTCAACAGATCAACAAGTTCCATAATTGTTTAAGAATGTTTATTTTATCACTTTCATTTCTTTTATCCCATTATCCCTCCATTATAGGGGAGATCACACACTGACACACTGTATTTGCATGTATTTTTTTTTCTGTCATTCCAGTTCTAGTCTACATTCAACCTAGTTTGGGAGGTTTGAACACGTAGAGGGATCCTGGGTAGTGTAGTGTATTCAATGCTTCGCAATCCATAAGTATGATGGCTTTTATTATGCACAACCATCATATTTACGGAATTGTTTTAAACTTCGGATTTGAGGAGATAAAGTTTGCTTGAAAGTTTTTGTGACTCTAACCTAACCATCACTGCCACAATTGTTTCTATAGCAACAAGGCATCCTCGAAGAAATGATGTTGTCAAGCTTGCACATACTGCCAAAAAAGGCCGGCAGCAAATTGGTCTTATACATATTTGCTTCAACAACTGTCCTTAAAAACACACAAGAGTACAACCTCAGAACAACTTCACGGGAATCAGGTTACAGGAAAACACCAGGTTTACTAAATCTTTTGTGACTCATTCCAGAAAACAGGCTGGAGGCTCCATTTGAATGTCATCTGAGGTTCAATGCCTCAGACAAATAAT